CAATATTGTCCTTTTACATCAAAATGTGCGTACTAAATATTACCTTTCAAGAACTATTGCTTATTGGTATTCAATAAGGATAATACGAATTCTGATTGAACAGTGGTGCATGTATGAATCACAATAACTTTGTGGACTTTTGTTTTCACCACATATTTTTTATAAGGGCTCAAAGTACCTTTATATGATGTTACATGTATACAGGTGCATACACAGGGGGGGGGGGGGTTTGGGGTTAAACCCCCCCCTTTGGTATTTTTTTGTGTGTAAACCCCCCCCCCCCCCCCCTTTGGATTTTTTTTTTAATTTATTAAAAAAAAAAAAAAAAATTCCCATGGCTGACCTAAAAAAGCTGACCTAACCCCCCCCCTTCCAACAGAGCAAAATGTCAAATTTTCAAATTTTGAGAAAAAAAAAAAAGAAAAAAAAAGTGTCCTCTTACCCCCCCCCCCCCCCCCCCCCCCCCCCGCTTATTCAGCAGTCGGCTGAATCGTTGCAATTTTTTGGGGACCAAAATTTTCGGCCCGATTTATAAATGTTAAAACCCCCCCCCCCCCACCCTTGAAAAAATCCTGCGTAAGCGCCTGCATGTATATGTGCCAGTACAACCTAAACATTTGTTGTACTCCCATATGACAATAGTGTACATGTATTCTGTATACCAAAAGCCTGGCTATTTGTTTGTATTTGTACTTTGTAATACTTGTAAGTAATTTGTATGGATTCTATTGAAGTGCAATTAATCATTAGAATTATTCTCACTTCAAGAAGCAAATTCAGGGATCTGTTTTGTGTTTTCATGGAAGAATGAGAAAGTAAATTTGCCTCATTTGTATTTATTCATCCCATTTAAAATATGTATCATCTTTATACAAGAGAAGAATCTCCTTGTAATAATTCAGATATATTTAAATATGTTTGCAGATGTAGGCTTAAATTTTGCTGGTCAAGACAACTCGTTAAAATTATGTTCATTTGTATTTCATGATCAATTTCTTCATTTCTCACAAAAGAATTTCTGGTTGTTTTTGTACTGCAAAATACATGAACAGTGCTGTAGAAAACCTTTTGAGGTGCTATTACTTATTCATAATTTCAGTGAATATGTACCACACCCCAAATGGATTTAAAAATAAACGCATTTATTATTTGTGAACTTGTTGTTCGTGTAAAATGCCAACCATGTTTTTGTTCATGAAGATTCAAGAATTATAAACATTACGCACAAATGTACTTGAATTTCATATTTGACAGTTGACATGTACTATCAAACAAATATTCGCTCCTGCGTCAACAGTTATTTCAAAGGAATATTATTATTATTTCTATCTTTTTCAAATTAACCTGTCATCCAGGCGAGGGCAATGCAATTCATGCCTTGTCAAATTTATGCAAAATGTTCAAAATGAACTGTCCATTGTCCAATAGAATGTAATAATGTATATTTTGACAATAAAAGAATGAAGCAAACTGTAACATTTCCATTGCATTCTTGAGTTTTGATTTATTAAGCATGAATTGTGAAACAATGAAAGAGTATGTATAAAAGTAAAGTAAGCAAAATCATTTAATATCTTTTCATGGTAACATAATATATGACTATAATTTCTCCTTTCAGCATTTGACACACATACATGTAGTCCATATAGGTCCAATTAAAATTTGTAATTTTCATATGTAGCAATAAGTTAATTATATATATAAAATTGATCTGTACATTTTAATGCTAGCTTGGTTGGTTATCAAAATATGAAACTTGGTCATACCATAACTAAAATTATATAAATTAAGAGTGCTAGGTAAAATTGCTCCCATACATGTATAAATGCCATCAAATATCCATATAACATTTTATCCAATTTGAAAGATTGTCATCTATTTCATTACAAATATTTGTATCTATTACCTTTAGATATATTATATTATTATAACTATTTTTTTAGAGAATCAGCAAAGACCAATAACATGATTAGTACTTTCTCCATATTTGAAAATTTGGGTGAATTTCCAAACGGAATTAAAGTGATTTCATTCAGTCCCATTAAAATCAAGATTTATCACTTTTAAGTGATTTCTTTGTAGAAAATGTACATTTCATGTAGACAACACACAGACAGTTTTTTTTTTTTGGCTGATTATTTTTGCATTAACATCCTACATTTAGATGAGTGTATAATGATTTGATACTTTGATTGATGAAATGATCTTTTTATAACTACATTTACCGTTCCTAATAAACATTCAATGCAAAGCATCCATCACCAATGTGAAGAGAGTCCACATATCTGATATTTAGCACTAAAACAGAAAAACACAAACAAATCAAATGAACGACATATCTATTAAGATAAGATAAGACAGGTAGAAAATTAAAACTATGTCAAAAACTTCAGCAAGGTTGGTGAAGTATGGAAAAGTTATAGTACATGTACAATAGTTATAGTTATTACAATAAACTGCATTTTAAGTAATGTGTATGGAACTCTGATAAGACTTTGGACTATGTGATAAAGTATACTAAAAGTAATCACTTTTCTAAGTTCATTTCACATGTTCTCACTGTGAGATTCGTTCCCCTTTTCTAATTTCTACATTTCAGAAATTTTAACAAATGCAAATAAAAAGCAGAGAAAATAAATGATCAAAATTACTTGTGAGATTGCTTAATTGGACAATTGAAATGCATACATGTACTTTACTAGAGAAAAATCCAGAACGTGTGATATTTCATATTGCCTCTGAACAATGATCAAACAACCATTGCTGTGCAAATAGCTGAACTCTGGGGAGATAAATGTATGCAGTACATGAATATTGGTAAACATTTGTACAAAAACAATGTAAATGTATGTATTCATGGTAATGCACTCTTCTCGCTAGGCAGGACTGCATGCAGCATATCCACAAATAATTTTTTCTCATAATGCTCAAGTATACTCTGTTGCACCCATGCAGACTACCAAAGGCCTTTTCTTTCTAAAGGGAGAAACATTATATTAAAAGGGCAAGTAGTGATCGTGGTATGTATACATGTATTCCTAAATATCAGTGGATCCAATTTAGATGAAAACATGTATAACAATATTAAAGGGAGGCTTTACTACTTCAGCTAGAAGGGATTAGACCACCCAGTGAGCCATCGAGGTCACTGTGACAGGTGGCTATCTCATTAACTCAGCTCTCATTTCACATAAGAAAAAGAGGATCATGGGGGACCAACAGGCACCGATTTGGGAAGTTTTCTATATAGAGGGACCAAGTAGCTACGAGTAGGACAGTGTGCCTTTAAGTATTCATGCATCTTATCTACAGATGATAAGCAATCAATGGTTTATAGTATAAATCTTTACGTACATGGAAAATAAAGTGAAACAGGTATTTATGCACTGTTTCAGTTACAAATTAGGTCTTGTTTCCAAATGCAAAGGTAAACCACTGGGGGAAGATAAGTGAAATACACTTCACAGTTCACAATTCACTTATCTTATAAACCATTAAAGTGAGTACGCATAGTCTCACAGGATCTTTGTAGTGTGCAGATACTTCTTTTCCTCAACTTGCCAGTTGCCAAGAAAACTTTCACATTAAAAGAAAGAATCACTGCAGTTTACCATGATATACATGTACTGTAAGAACAAGCTTTAATATTTTTTGTTCCATAAGTTATATGACAAGAATTATACTATTTATAGGAATGTTCATAACTAATACAAATTTCTTTTTAAGTATTACAACATATTTCAACTTTTTTCCCCTTCTATTTCTTTTCTTTTTTAAAGATACCTTTTAAAGATAACAGTTCACATTCTCCTATAAAAAAAAAAGTAAAATCTGTTCTTTCTGGAATAAGCTGGCAAAAATCTGTTTTGTTGGAAAATTATGTTGGAAAGTTTCAAACAAAATGATTAATGTTTCAGTTTACGAAAAGAGAATGATACTTGATGTAGAGTACAAATATTCTTTTTTTTTAAACATGTAGAAAGTGGTATACATGAGTGGATATCCACATGTACATGTAGGTATGTTAACTTGGAGCAACAATGTACATACATTTATTTTTCTTGGAAATTCATCAAATTAATGGCAGAAAATTCCTTCTGAATATTGCACATCAAGGAAACAAATCTGCTGTTTTGCTTGTTTTCTCAATTCAGTGATGAGTTTATTTGCATTCCTTACTTGAATATGAATCAATGGATAATTCATTGCATTGCAAAGTAATAATTAAGTCTACAAACGTGGGTTAATAAATGAATTAATACATTTGAAGATGTTAAAAGTTAACACCTATATTCTGGGTAAATATCTGACATCAAAAGGAGAGTGGTATTCATATGTTTCATGAGTACTAGAAAATTGTAGATAATCTCTTCCCTCTCTTGTAAAAAGGGCTTTTACACAACAGCCACTACCAAAATCCAAATTTAAGATTTCATTGAAAATTCCAATCAACTCATGTCCATGTATTCAAATTGAAAACAGGAGAAGATTTTGAGTTGTGCATTTATATCAAAGTTGAAGTAATTGGGCAACTACCTGTAGTCCATAGTGAACAACTCAATGCATATTGAGCAGGCCCTACGTAAATGTTTTACTTGAAAGAATTAGTCATTAGTAAACAGTTTGTTCAATATTGATGCGCAACTAAAACCATTTATTTCATTAAGCTGCAAAGCAAGTAGAGAAGCTCTGCAAAATGAGCTTTTATTGAAAACATAAATCATATTACCAATTTATTAAAGGTAAAGACCAGTTTTGGAAACTCGGAAGCTCTTATTACCAATCATGTGAAAGAATATGTTTTGACTAATACGTGATCATACAAATTTTGCCGAGAAAGTAGAAACCACCTACTAATTGATATATTTGGTACATTATTATATCTATTTGGACCTGATAGATATAACGCACAAGTCGTGTAGTCCAATATACATCTTTCTGTGTACAGTGCTTGTAACTTAACCAAGACTAGGCCAAATTTCTTATCATTTTGATGATTCCAGAACCTTGCAGTACACACTCATACTTATATGCTAGATGATCAACCTTTTCTGATCAATTCCACAACGTTTCTTTCACAATGCAATCGCATGACCATAAATGGTCTTTATCTTTCATGTATGCAGACTATTACACCGATGCTCTGCATATATCATTGAGCAAATTACAAAGTAATTAATTTTTGTTGATTCAAAGCAACATTTCAACTTTTTCTTGCCTGTGGCACATGGTTGAACCATGGCCAACATATCTTTGAATGACGCACTTTCTTGAAAAGAATATACCAGCGCAAGATTACAGAAGAACAAAAACAAAGAAAATATCTGTACATCTAACCTGGGGAAATAAAGAATATGCATTATATACCTGGATACACTCTGTTTACATTTACACATGGTTCTTTTAAGAACTCTCAACATAATCTTTTAACAACAATCTGACTTCTTGTGAACCGTGCTAGGCTTCTGATTCAAGTTGATAGGATTGACATCATCCTTGACATCATTTTTACGGTCAAGCTCCACCACCCTCCTGACTGCTGCAATGAATGCCTCTTCCACATTGACTGCTGTCTTGGCGCTAGTCTCGTAATAAGGCACATTGCCATTGTCCGCACACCACTGCTTTGCTTCATCGACCCCGACCTGCCGCTTGTCAGACTCCACATCGACTTTGTTGCCGAGGAGAACGAATGGAAAGTTTTCTCCGTCTGCAATGTCCGCATAGTACAAGAACTCCTTCTTCCACATGGTCAAGTTGTGAAAGCTCTGCCTGTCGTCCACTCCATAGGTCAGCATGCAACAGTCAGAACCCCTGTAGAACGGTGTCCTCAGGCTCTTGAAGCGCTCCTGACCCGCAGTGTCCCATATCTGGACAGTGAAGGTCTCCCCTTCTACAACGATGTCTTTGTTCAGGAACTCCACCCCAATGGTGTGAAATGATTCCTGCTCAAATTTGTTACTCACGAAGCGATTCATGAGAGAGCTTTTACCGACACCTCCATCCCCCAGGATGACAACTTTGAGAAGCATTGGTCGACTTCCAGCCATTTTTTAGGTGTTCTCAATGAGACATTGCACATAGAACATAGAATTACACAACCCAACTGCTACCATGGGAGTCTTTTCATCCCCATAATTTGCACTCCTCCTCAGGTTTTGTTCATTGGTCAGTCCAATTGCTGTTGTAACATTGGTCGAGTATCCTTTAGCTTCTCAGCGGTTCTTTGTGTATTCACTCTGCAGCAGAAACCTATAATTATACAAGAAGAACAGAGAAATATTATATTTTATAAGATGATGACATGGATCCTAATCAAATGATTGGTTGAGAGCGTACACGTGACCAGGCATTTAATGGGCCTAACATGAAATTTGATAACGACCGGTCATTATCAAATACTAATGACCAGTCATTAGTAAAATCGTGTTATAAAACACCATTTTATAAAACAAATAATAATCTTATATAACAAATAATACACATCATTTTGTTCGGGCATTAGTAAAATTACCCACACTTGATACCTTCAAAACAGTCCAAATACCCCGACTATGCCCTCGGGTGTGTAAGACTGTACCAAATGTCCTTGTGTGGGTAATTCTTATTATAAAATGGCTCTAGTATTTTAAGCATCGTGATTGGTCAATACGCGTCACATGACATTGAAAAAATTTTGATGCAAGCACGATTTTGCAGAAATGAGTGCAGAAAAAGCGCAGTAAAAAGTTATATTGCACGGTGCGTACGCGTGACCATGGAGATCCAGTGCGCGCGCGTACGTGTAGTACGCGCTCCCTCGAGTTGCATTGCAATTATTGTAGGCTACGCGTAGCTAATATTGTACGCTCCACCATGATCCCCAGCGCAACGTACGCGTAGCTTAGCTCTAGCTAGCTAGCTAGAGCGGCCAGCGGGGTATTATTAAAAAGCAAATTTTTATTTTACTTTTGCCTTGGATTTAGGCCTGTTTTGACTTTTGGATTTTATAATGAAGCCAGGAATTTCAGCTGTCTGATGTAGACTCGTCTCTAGACCCATGGCCCACTGTATGGATTTTATTTTTAATCAAGGCAATGAATCCCATTGACTTTTTGGTAAGCCTGCAAGGTCTTACTTGAAGTAGATCTAGAACCAACATAACTCTAGATCTAGATCTAGATCGAACTCTCGTAGACTCTAACTTATTAGATCTAAAGTTTCGTTTTTGCTATTTGTGTCGCTATTTTATAAAACAAATAACGCACTTGACCCTGTTGTGCAAAACGTAAATGCAGTAAACGCTCGGTTTCTTCAGATGGTTCGCACTGTCAACTCGCCGCAAGCGGCTCGTTGCACAGAGCAGCACCAATCTAAAGAAACCTCGCGCGTACTGCATTCACCGCTATTGCACTCTGGGACGTGCGTTATTTGTATACTAATTAATGCCCTCAATGCTGTGTATTATTTGTATAAAAGGGGGCATGTATGATAGGGTGCCCAAAGTTCAAGCACATATATTTGATCCATGGTTTCTCATATTCTACATGTATATTAGGAACTTTTATGAGATCAATTACTACAAAAGGGAGAGCAAATTTTTGACTACAGATGGGTACAACTAGAAAATTTATCACCAAAAGATTTCCTGGTGATATACCAATCTCAAAAGCTAACGTTGGATCGGAATTAGTTACGACTGAAGAATATATTGATAAAAAACAACAGTTAACTTAAACATGTTGAAGTTACTGGTTACTGGTATTTCTCTTGAAAATGACTGTTCTTTCTCGAATCATTGTAAATATGTACAATTGAAAAAGGAAAAATAAATGAATTGAATTGAATTGAATTGAATTGAATCGACTTCCTTAAGTTCCTTTTGAGACAGCCACCAACCCAAATTTGAAGAAAAAAATATGGCTTTGCCATTGGCTTTGGCATCAACTCAATTAACTTCTCACCTCACTTGTCACGTCACTGTTGGGTCTGAATATCAAGGAATTGTAAAACACTAAGTACAGAGTGGATTGATGTCATTGATAAAACAATGGAATTAATACATTATCTTCCTTTAGTCTAGATTTATTTCTAGTTAGGCCGAGCGCGGCGCAGAACAATATCCCAACACAAAAAAACATTGACGGGACCACAACAGAGCTACGCCTCCTTTCTAGACAAAAGTCAATGACAGCTTGTACTATGTAGATTTTCATGCAAAGGAAAGAATGAGAAGTTATCTCTAGCTCTAGATATATATTATACATAGATTTCTAACCATTTATTACAAACTTACCATCAAATCGCCAAGTTTTGTTCAACAATTATTAACATCTGTCAATATGTTGTGAGTCGATCTTCCTCGTGACTTGTGACTGTGACTTTAATGTGTTAACGCGTGAGTCATTGATTTCTTGTGATAACAGTCGCTAAAATAACAATCATACTAATATTTAATAGTTTATAAATACATATCGCGTATGTTCCTAGTTTTTTTCACACTACATAGATTAAGGATGGCGATCGTTTCGGGACAATTACACCCTTAGGACAAACACCCCCCCCCCCCCCAAAGGACAACAACCCTGATAAATTTACCCTCCTTTTCAGGGGAAGTTCACCCTGATAATAAGTTTTTGTTAATAAGAAAATATATATAGGCCTACGAATATATCTTTTTCTTGGGGGGGGGGGGGGGTAATTTCCGGGGGTATTCAAAGGGGGGGGGGGGGGGTGATTATCCATTTTATTCTCTAGTGTATGAGCTAGGATCTTGACATATATGTCAAAGTACACAAATACCGATTATTTCTGTCTAGGTAATTATAAAGGTTCCTATTATTTCAAAAAGAAAAGAACAGAAGGAAAAAACAAATTTTTATGATTTTCTAATTAACTAATCAAATATGAAAAGATTGTAAATAGAGGACCATCCCATAAAGTTGTAAGAAGAAAAAAAAAAGTTCTCATCCGTCATATAAACAAAGGCAGGTATGCAGGCGCGTATGCAGGATTTTTTTTGAAGGGGTTTTTTAAAATTCAGGGGGGGGGGGGGGGGGTAAGAGCACTTTTTCTCCCCCAAAAAAATTTGGTAAATATATTTCCTTCAGTTTGGGGGGGGGGGGGGGGGGTAAGGTCACCTTTTTTAGTAAAAAACACACAACAAAATTGAGGGGGGAGGGTTCCATCTCCAACCCCCCCCCCCCACGCACCTGGAGGTATGGTTGAAAATGTTTTCTTCTTCTTTTTGATCTTCTATCTTTCTTCCTCTTTTACCTTTCTTTCTTTTTCTTTTTCTTGTGCATATCATTATCATCATTTACTCGCCATGGTGTAGAAGGGAATATAATTTTGTTGAAATGAGCATGAATTTATGTGTGTATAATGACCATATAATAAGGTTTACCAAAGCAAATTAATTTTTTTACCATGTTCATAAGAAACATTTCTTAATTTAGTTTGAGCAGGGAGAACTTGCCCATTCAGAGTAGAAAAAGGGGGAGGAAGGTGCCTACACTAAATGATTTTAAATTACAAAAATTAAAGTGAAACATAGTAAAACAAAGCACAAATAAAGTTTTACAAAGGAAATGTTCATTTAATAATAATATGTGTACATAATTTCAGGTTGAATTTATATTACATAACAAACACCTACAAATAAATACAAATCAATTGTAATATTCCATTTACATAACAATGTTTTTGCTGATCAAATATCTTACTCTTTCAAATCACAGTTTATACCCACAGATGAAGCACCTCATTTAAATACAACTTATAACAAAAAGAAGTGTTGTCATAAAACATGAATTGATTTTCTTCAGGGATGGATTCTTATCCATTTGAAACATAACAATATACAATGTTTGTAAGAGTATGCTTACTGTAGTAGAGAGTTCTAAGAGTTTTAAACGTTATTCTACAACATAAAAGCATTTAATGTAGAATTGTAGCGATGTTATTTGGGTATTGCTCAAAGCTGAAGCTATTTTTGAAAAGTAGGATATAATATAAGCAGACTTGTAAGAATGATTAAAAGTGGCATTCTGAGAACAATGGGCATTTGTATATCTTCTGGGGGAGGGGTTAGTGAATTAGTATTCAAATTTACGGATACTGAGTTAATCACAAAATTCAGGAGGACCAATTCCCTCCATCATCTATTGTCATCATTGTCAAAAAGGCGATTGGTGTGTGAGACTGTTAATTGAGTTAAATTTCCAGCTACATGTAAGTAAATTACACAATAAATTCACAACAAGTAATTGATGTATAAAGAAAGAAGTTCATGGTATATTCTTTTCTTCAATTATTATCATAAAATCCCAGAATGCTTGAAATTAAACATTTATACCCTTTTTCCTGGAGTTCTGTTCTTTTAGAAAGATAAACTGGCATATACTGATAGACTGGCTTACAGCAATTTTGCATTGTTTATCATGCAGCAGATGGATTGTTTGGACCAGCCAAATATACCAATAAATGACAAAATATTGGAAATGCCATCTACTGAGGAACACTGAAGACTCACTTTTGTATGCACACAGTGTGGACTACATGCTTGATTTCTTAATGCTGAGTAGTATTTACTAAGGTGTTACACAGGTCCTGCAAATCATCTGTCATACACTTGTAGTCTTCTAATTCAATGCAAATGTTATTTGATTCTGTGTTAATATACTTTCCATCATTTCTAGAACTCAGATTGCTGTTTAATGGACAAAATGCCCGGTACCCAGAATGACCACTTATTCTACCCAATGCCTCACATAACTTAAACCATGTAATGCCAGAGCAGAGGTGGTATTAAATATTTGAGCATATTATTACAAAATGCTGTCAAGGGAAGGAAAGTTTACCTAAAGTACAAATCTACAGCAGATCTAAAAGATATAAATTAATTGCGTTTTGCGAACTTCCAGCAATGGAATCACAATAGAAGGAGTAATACAGGTATGAATGATGACTTTGGTAGCTTAGCATAATGAAGAGACATGTAAAACTGTCTGTTAGAAGAAAAAGATCCAACTTCAATAATCTTTCACCGATCAGGATCTCGCAAATTGTGTCCTACCTATCTTAATTTGGTAATCCAAAGGCACAATCAATGTATATCAAGGATGAATATACATTTTGCCTATGAGTAAGCAATCATTTGCGAAGGATCAACTACAAGTACCAACTACTCAAATATCCTTTACATATTGATAATTCATAACATTACAATATTAGAGAAACAGATATTATACCCTTCCTGTCAATGCATTCATGAACCAGCATGTGCATTGACAAGAATTAATCTTGACGTTATAATAATACCCCAGTCACATCTATGATTATACTGATAGTGTACCAACAATAGACCAATCAAAATTCATCAAATTTCCCTTTTTCAGAAGCAATGATGTTCAATAAACCTGTCACAATACTGGACAAGCCCCTGACATTATGGCCCTTGTAGGGCCTTTCGGGCAAGCTATGGAGCTTACACCCTGGTAAAGTTTGGAACTGACTAAATACCACTGAAAGGCTGTCAAAACCAATCATTGCCTGATATACCTCTGAGAGTTACCTCACAATATCCAAAATGCCTCAGATGTTCTCAATCATTAGTTGGTTTGGCGGTGTGACTGGGTTAGCAACAGGGCCTGGGGGACTAGCTATAATATATCAACTCTACTGACTTACGATTCTTAAATATACTGCACGTGACTATCATACAACTAATCGACGGGGGAGGGGTTGGGCCTTAGTCCGGTGTATCGATTGATATAACAGGCATAACAACTTTATAATCCAGCATAGCTTGTTTGGAATGTATATAGATTTCTCTCTGGATTTCCTGCTCTTCCGGTTCTTGATCTCCTCTGTGGATGTTGATTTCTATGTTGCCGTACTCCTGGAGGAAGGGGCAGGTTCCCAGCAGAAAAGAGCAGAAATCTTTCCTGATACCAAACCACCCTATGTGAGGAATAGACAAAATATAGAGGGTAAACAACAAGTAAATTGAAGATCAAGTCAAACCTTTTCATAAAGAACATCCAGGGGAGACAAGAAATGTTGTATTTACAAGCAAGTTGTCTTTATAAGCAGGTGGTATTTACATATGAGTCCTTTTGGTACAAGTCTCAGTGACAAATGCTGCTTAATAGGAACAAATGAAAATGTGGTGTTTTATGGACAAATGCTCTTTCTATTCAGGTGTTAATTCAGGCAGGTTTCAATGTACAATGAAATGTGCAATAATACTAGAAATTGTGCATCACTCCAATAGAGCAGTGCATAGATATTATCAAATGGAGGATACTAATGATGATCAAAAGCTTGCCATCAGCATACCTTGCATATCAGAAGTTATGCGTGCGACCTGCTTTTTTTTTCAGATACAATTTTTTTTTTAAAGGTAAATGCATCAGTTTGTAAGGGGTCTTGACATAGGTTCTTTGAATACATAATTTACATAAAGAGAAATTATATACTCCAGTTACACCAACAAGGCAGACACTTGACCGACTATAGACTGAACAAATGATTACATAACATCAAATGGCAAGAGTCACTCAGTTTGGAATCTGTTTGGAGCCAGCTTGTTGGTGTGACTGGCGTATTAAAACACCTCTTCACAGGATAATTTGTTTCTGTATATACTCACATTGATTTCCACCTCTTTGACCGAAGGCAGTGGGCAGCAAGACCAGTAAAGAGATGTACAGGGGACAAAACACAGCAGACACCGGGTAATCATTGATGCCGTCTAATCTATTTACCAACAGAATCTGTCAATAAATCAGGGAAAGATTGGACAAAATATGGTTTATTAAAAACAAAAGTACATAAGAATGTCTCTGCATCACTTGTAGTGAGAGGAAGAAAAAATTCATATAAACAAGAAACTTTAATATAGAGCCAGCTTTTTAAGAGTTTCCAGGGGAGTTGAGAGTGTGAAAGTTACTTGCCATGAAATTATTGAAAAGCAAAATGAAGCTATTCATGCAAGTCTCAAGCTGGAAGAAAATTATCATTAACAATTTGCAAAAGTGTCTAATTTTACAGTAATGCACAAGATTTGAACAAGTAAGCCCTATCAAAATTGTAGGGTGGGTGGGGTCAATTCAATGAAATTCTAAAGCAGCATCTCACTATGACTTTGCTAGTCCAAACAACCCTTGACAATTCATATTAGGTGTGGCAAGGAATGAGATTGCATTTATAGATTCACTTACCTCAAATGTTAGAAGTGGTGCTACTAGTGATACAGCAGTGACTGCTGTCATGAAGTTGGCTCTTCTTTGCTCTGCCATCAGCTCTGTGGCTCGTAGGATGAGTAGAGACCAGATGACGTAGTACAGAACGATGAGACACATGAGACAGGTCAGAATCCACAATGGGATGAATACAACCTGTCGATTGATTGGACAGAAGCTTATAAAAAAGCATGGCAAACC